TCTTTGTAAAAATACATGACAGTCATGACTTTTCATCCCTAACAATTTACAATTTTCCATGTCAACACATTTAGACAAATTTGAAGCATGTCCATCAGGAAGTCTTAAATTTTTAATCCATTCACATACCAACTTCCTTTGTTGCTTTGTCAAAGTGTATGTTGCTTTTGGCTTCATTGTCTTTCCAGCATTCTTAAACAATGCCAATTCTGGTCGGTTACAATAAGTAGACAAGTCCTCTCTAGCCTTTTCATTGTCCTTCGTCTTACCTTTAACATCCATAACAGTATTAAATATATTATCAAATACATTCTTCTCAATATGCATAACATCAAGATTATGGCGAATCAAGTTGGTATTCCAATAAGGCAAGTCCCAAAATATAGAACATTTAGTCCAATTATGTTGATGCCAAACCCAGGTAACTTGTAAGTTCCATTTTTCTCCATCATTCTTGGCAAGCAACAAACTTTTTCCCACAAGTCATCACTAGAAAATCTTTGAGGGATAGGAGATTTCTCATCACACCCTTTATAAAATGACTTTTTATCTCGATAAAAGGATGTTGTAGTGGTAAAAATTGACGATGACAATCAAAAAATGTCACCTTTTTTCCTTTTCCAAGAAGAATGATTTGCTGTACTCCATACAAATTGGGCATGACAAAATTCCATGCGTACTCCATCCCGATAACATGCCATAAGCAGGGAAGTCATTAATAGTCCATAATAGTGAAGCTCTCATATAAAAATTTTGATTCTTATATGAGTCATAGGTTAAAGCACCAACCTCCCACAATTCTTTCAACTCATCAATTAAAGGTTGCAAGTACACATCAATTTTTTGCCCAGGGCTCTTTGGGCCAGGAATTATAAGAGTAAGAAACATATATGGGGTTTTCATGCACATCCCAGGGGGCAAATTATATGGTGTAACAATTACAGGCCAACATGAATATGGATGTGCAGATTGCCCAAATGGAGTAAACCCATCTGATGATAAGCCTAACCTAACATTTCGAGGTTCTAAAGCAAAAGAGGGATAACATTGATCAAAATGTTTCCATGCCTCGCCATCACAAGGATGACACATGACCCCTGGCTCTCGCCTTGTTTTATGATGCCATACCATGTGCTCTGCTGTTTTCGAAGACATATAAAGCCTTTGTAATCTTGGAGTCAATGGGAAATAACACAGCACCTTGTACGGTATGTCTTTATTACTTCCATTATCTCTTTTTCTAGATTTAAAGCGATCATGGCCACACACCAAACATTCCCTCTTTCCTTATTCTCCTTATAGTACAGCATACAATCATTTCAACACACATCTATTTTCTCATACTTCAAACCAAGTTGTCCTACCATTTGTTTAGTCTTGTAATAGTCTTCAGGCAATTTTTCATCATTTGGCAACAATTCTTTTACCCATTGTAAAATACAATTATAGCAATTCCCACTCAAGTTAAACTCAGATTTGATATTTAACAATCTAGATATTGCTGATAATGGAGTGTGCCTACTACACCCTTCATACAGTGGCTCTTTAGCAGTTTCCAACATCTCATAAAATTTTTGAGCATTATGGCTTACAAGATCATCTAACTCTATATTAGTATTAGGATTGACACTAGGACCAACAACATCTAAAATCATGGTGTAATATGGGTTTTCTAAGATAACATCATCCCTTGTTTCATTAGCACCTTCAACTCTTTCTTCAATATCTCTAGCAACCTCAATCAACATTATCATAATGTAAAGGTTCCCCGTGATAACTCTATGGGTCATAATTAGGGACAAAACCATGACGATAAAGGTGAACCTTGACGATTTCATACTCTAAAAATTTCTTATTGTCACACTTTGAACACGGACACCTTATTTGGCCATTTGAGACTAGATTTGGTTGAGAAAGAACAAATGCCATAAATTGTTCTACACCATCTATAAACTTTTTGTTGAGTCCTTTTCCACTTTCGTCACGCCGACTATACATCCATATTCGATCATCCCTCATAGTCTTCTACATGATACCATGTAATTATTTAAGACAAAATAACTAATTAACATAACTAATTCAAGAAATAAGGTTTACTAAGTCTAAAACCAGTAAAGAGTTTAATATAGTTAAAAAAATAACACTCCTGGGATGACAATCAAATGGCCTAGCATCCAAAAACCATTAAATTGTAATCTACCAAGGAGCTCTAAAAATAATGGAAATTTTGCACATCAAATAGCACACATGTAGAACTATGAATATGAAATTTCATGGCAAAAATGTATTATCCAATGACCTTTTTTAAAACATTGAAAAACTGCTTGCATGTATAATTTGGTAACTTAATTAATTAGGCTTACTTGATAATAATGAAGTTATGCAAAGCTGCAAGATTTGTACCAATGTACTTCAAAGGATGCATAAAAGAAAAGAACAAAGAAAGAAAGAAATCAAGTTAAAAGCATATGGTGAATATAATTAATCAAAAAAGAAAAAGCTATGATTAAGTGGACATGAATATAATATAATTAGAAGCATATAATTAATTTTTAGCTGCAGCAAGGAGGACAAAAAGCTTGACAATTAATTGTTCATTTTAGCATTACATAAATTTAAAGGCAAGAATACTATAAGCCAAAACACACTTTTTGGTTTTAACCCCATCTCACTTGATTGTTTCTTCTCCATCCATGATGGTCACTAGCTAGAGCTAAGCATTACATTCAATGGGAATGAAAAAGTAAGAAAATGAGAAAGGTAAAAAACAGAGAAATAGAAGCATGATAAAGATATTACCTCAGCTTTGAAAGAAGAAAAAAGAGTTGTTAGCCTTTCAATTGCAGATTCAATGCATAACCTTCACCTTGGAATACATATAAATTAATATACAAATCATTAAAAACAAAATTTCCTTTGTTGAACTGACCCTGCGATTGACTACCAGAGCATATAATTAAATTTCAATAAATCCCACACCACAAAACAAAAGACTCCAAAACTAAGCACCATAAAAATATTATTAAATAAAACAAGTTGATGTGGTTTCGTTCCAAAGCAAGCTAAGAAAAGTCAAAATCCTCTTTTCCTTAGTGGCTTTATTATATTGGTCCATTCAAGTTATTGTATAAATTTAGGTCTCCCGAAGTAAAGCTAAAACTTTTTAGGCAAAGGGAATAAAGTTCATTGTAGTGTTTGGCAATCTATTAAATAATCTCATTATCCCTTCCCATAGTCTCGAAAGAGGAGTCCTAACACTAATAGAATCTATTCTTCAGGCATATTCAACAATTGAGAATAAGAAAATCATAATGAGAGCAAGAATACAGACAAAAGCAAAGTGGCAGGGGAAAAGGCTGTGAATTTTTTTTTCAAACCTAAACTATCTAAGAAAGCCCTTTTTCAAACCTACTCTCATGTTGAATCAAGAGAAATGTTTATTGTGCTCAAAAGGGGTCAAAGGCAAAGCGTACCTGAGTGAGGTGAGAAAGAGAAATTGTTGTGTGCTTGATTTCTTCGAGCATCAGTAGTAGAGCACTGGAGATGAACGGCAGGAGCCGAGCACGAGTTTAGTGATAATAGAATTGCAAAGGAGGGAAGGGTTTTAGTCTTAGGGTCTGATGGTGACTCTAAAATTATATTAATTTTCATGTTCAATTTTTTATTATATTATATTAGTAAAATTAACCTAATATTTTACCCATCTAAATGCATCTAAAAAGTAATCATAATTGGTATAAAATATTTATAACATTTAAAAGAAAATTTTTATCAATTATTAATAAATCATTTTAACATAAATATATTTTTATTTCCTATTTTTAACATTAATATCTTTATTAATAATATATTTTTATTTTAACAATACAATTAAATTAATTATCTATTTTATATTAACATAAATAATTAATTGTTATTATACTTTCACACTTAGTGACGGATATCCATAGGTCACTATTTATTAGTCACTAATTTTGTGATTGTTTTGTAAAATTGTGACAACTTTGAGCATCTGTCACAATTCAGTGACCGATAATTAGTGACCAAATTATATCCGTCACAAATTATAAACTTTTAAAAGAAATGTGACTGATATTATCATCCATCACTAATCTGTCACTAATCACTATAATTAGTGACGGATATAAAGTTGTCACTAATTATCCGTCACTAATATGATTTTTTCTAGTAGTGTTTGTCATGGAAAATGGAATTTTTATTTTGAAAGTGGTGATTTTCTCGCATGTTGGAAAATGGATTTGAGAGGGATTTTATACAAAACACTGGTTGCTAACGGCAGTTTCGTTAGCCCTTGGCGTGCCATAGTCGACCTAGCTAGCAGGGTGCTTATAGGAAGTGCTAGTCCTGTGCGATGGCCAACACACGTGAAATGGAGGGATGGTTATTCGTGAGCGTTGTACTCACACTTGATTTCGTGGGTTTGAGTCGCGTTTGGTTAACAGTACCCTCGTGGACTATGTGTCCACGTTTGTTTCGTGGCTTTGGCTGCGTTTGGTTACTTACCCTCATGGACTAGTGTGTCCACGTTTGTTTTGTAGCTTTGGCTGCGTTTAGTTACTTACCCTCGTGGACTGGTGTGTCCATATTTATCTTTGTGACATAAGCCGCGTTTGGTTATTTACCCTCGTGGATTATGTGTCCACGTTTGATAATTATTATGATAAGTCCCTATAATTATAATCTGATTATTTGGTGATTTTATATTTCATTGGTTTTGACTTAGCAACTTATTTATAAGTATTTATTTCATTTACATGCTTTCTTGAAATCAAGTGATAATAAAAAAATTTTATGATAATTCAATGATTTATGATTTTATTTAAATCTTATAGAGCTATTTCATTCCAAAGCTCATGGAAATTTTTTTATGGAAGAAGTTGCCTCTTTGGTTACATAATTATTTTGAACTTTTCTATTTATTCATGCTCAATTATTTATTGTTGGGACGATATTCACTAGAAAATTTATTTGGATTTCAGATTTGTTAGCTGATGCTGATCCTACCACCGACCTCGAAAAAGGGCAACACAGTTATACTGGGTGGAAAATTTTGCTTGATACTGTTACCTGTTTATATAAATATTTTAGTACTCATACATTTTAAATCTAGAAGAAAGATTAGTTGCTCCACATAGATTGTTGTTAGAATTTTATTGTGATCTATATATTGTTGCTAGCTGAAAGGAGTTAAGTTCCTGATTGATACTGTTTTTCTAAAAATTTTGTTGTAGAACTTTTGGGAGATTGTATTTACAGGGATGGTTTTTTCGAAATTAAAAAAAAATATTGAAGTCTTGTTATGACAATTAATATTAATAGTGTTAGAATTTCTATATAATTTGATTATTTTTAAAAAGGAAGGAATTTTTATTTTAAGGCTTATGGGAATGCGTGATGTAGTTTGTACCTGTGCCGGTCACTCTCTATTTTTTTGGGGCGTGACATATATCATTACTAATATTATGTTAAAGATTCCAAAATATTTTAACTTTTTATTTTTAATTATGTTAAAAAACTTAAAAGTATTAACTAGCCCTTGTAATTTAATTATCTACTCTCTCCCCTCTCATTTTTAGAAACTTTAAATAATTATGACAATATTGTGTTCATATTAATAAAATTTAAGGGGAAAAAGCATAAATCATGTTGAATAATTTATTTTTTAAATTATTTCCCTATTTCATTAAGTTTTTTTGTACACAAAAAAGATATCTACTCCAACCACCTAGGGTTATTCACCTTAGAGCAAAGGACATTAGAACCATAAATATATAAGAACTCATATTTGATTGAATTTGTTAGTTACAAAACTAATATTTTATTTAAGAACCATCAAGCTCCTAAAATTTTGTGAAATGACAATTAGGTCATCAATAATATTTTATGAGATGTACATTATAAGTATCGATTTAAATAATTATAAATTCAAATTTCTAATTACAAATAAAACATTTAAATTATTCATAGAGATCTTAGTTTGCAATTGAGATTCTCATTGATGCTGTCTAAATTAATATTTACAACTCTTTAGAAAATTTTGTCAGAAATTTAAATTGTCATTTATTTAATCTTTTTGGACTTTATTGTCATTCTCCTAATATTAAATTGAAGAGGGCATATCATGATTCAAAATAATTTGAGGATAAATATAGGTACTTGAGATTGCTCATAAAACTCAAAGTTGAAAGAAAAGCTCCACCAAAGTCTTGTTTTCGCTCAAATCCAACAATACTAAGTTAATGACAATGAATATAAAACGCAAACTTGAAGTAATAGCTTCCCTGAAAGGCCAAACTTGTGTTTTTATAGAAAACTAGCTTGGTTGGTCATTCTAGTTTCATTTTCCTAAATTGGTTTACGCATCTTTTTTATTTTTGTCCTTTATTGATGGGGTGGTCAAAGTGAAGCAAATTGTTATTTCTCCTAAGGCCATTATTATTATTTTCGTACAGCTCTTTATTTATTTATTTCTCCTAAAGGAGTAAAGGATTCAATTTCTTTATATATGCGGTTCTTAATGTAATGATAACAAAAGGTAATAAAACATCATATTTGTGTTCTATAAAGTGATTCTTATATAGTATATTAGCGTTTCAGTTGTTTTTTTCAGATAGGGAGAATGACAGTGTGTAGATGCTTAAAATAGAAAATTAATAACAATTAGATTTTAAAAAAACATCAAAAATTTATTGCAATTATTAATTCTAAAATATTTTACATCTAAAACTAAAAGGTATTATTTGTAACTGATACCCTTAAATTTAAATTGTTTGTCACATTTTTTTAAAAATATATTTAAAACTTAACTGTGATTATTAATTTGGTATTTTAAAATCTAACTATTATTTTTCCTTTCAAATATATTATAAAAACAATGGTCACTATCATAGTATTTTTCATTTTATTATTGTAACTCTTTTTTTCTTTTTCAAAGTTCCCTTGAGGTAGGTATAGTGTTAAGTGACCGTGAACATAAAATCTCCAAATGATCATTGGGAGATAGCAGGGAGGACCTATACTTACACGTTGACCACCGCCTTGAATCTTCCCGAATCATGTGCGAGTGTGCATGGTGTATGCAATGACATCACCTTTCACAAACACTTCTTTTCTATTTTCAAAATATATGCTTTAGTCTAATTTTTTCATATATCATTGGCAATATTATGTTGAAGATCCTAAAATATTTTAACTTTTTATTTTTAATTATGTTAAAAAAACTTAAAATTATTAATTGACCCTTGTAATTTAATGATCTACTCTTTCCCCTCTCATTTTAAGAATCTTTAAACAATTAAGTATGACAATATTTATATAAATAATTTAAAAATATTGTGTTCAAATTAATAAAATTTAAGGAAAAATAAGCATAAAACATATTGAATAGTTTATTTTTTTAAAGTATTTTCCTATTTCATTAAGTTTTTTTTTGTAGACAAAAAATATTAACTCCAACCACTTAGGGTTATTCACCTTAAAGGAAAAGTACATTAGAAGCATAAATATATAGGAGCTCATATTCAATTGAATTTGTTAGTTATAAAACTAATATTTTATTTAATGACCATCAAGCTCTAAAAATTTTGTGAAATTGAAGAGGGCATCTCATGTTTAAAATAATTTGAGATTGCTCATAAAATCCAAGGTTGAAAGAAAGACAACACTAAAAGCCTAGTTTCAACTCAAATCCAACAATTCTAAGTGAGTGATGAGGTTTGTGGAATCAATGCAACTTACCAATAAGATTGTTATAAGACAAGTTTAGAAAGGTAAGATTGCCAAGACTTTCAATCTGTGCTAGAATGGCTCCACTTAACTTGTTTCTACTCAAATCCAACCATTTTAATTGAGTGAGATTTTGAAGAGCTCCTATTTGAGTCATAATAGTATCTGTAATTTCAATTACAAACAATCTAAATTCTAAATAGATCTAGAATGACTAAATTTGTTAGTTATAAAACTAATATTTTATATAACAACCATCAAGATCTTATATAATATATTTCATCAAATATTAAAGGGAAAAAGACATAGTTAAGTCCCAAAGGAGGGAATTAATGACAATTAGGTCGTTAATAATACTTTTTTGAAATGTACATAGTAAATATCGATTTAAATACTTACACATTTAAAAGTTTTAACTACAAATAAAATATTAAAATTATTCATATAACACTTAGTTTGCAAATGAGATTCTTGTTGTAGCTATCTAAATTAATATTTACAACTCTTTAGAAACTTTTGTCAGGAATTTAAATTTTCATTTATTTAATCTTTTTGGAATTTATTGTCATTCTCCTAATATTAAATTGAAGAGGGCATATCACGATTCAAAATAATTTGAGGATAAATATAGGTACTTGAGATTGCTCATAAAACTCAAAGTTGAAAGAAAAGCTTCACCAAAGCCTTGTTTTCAATCAAATCCAACAATTCTAAATTAGTGAGAATGGTTATAAAACCCAAACTTAAAGTAATGGCTTCACCAAACTTGTGTTTTTATAGAAAGCTAGCTTGGTTGGTCATTCTTGTTTCATTTTCCTAAATTTGTTTACGTATTTTTTAATTATTGTGCTATATTGACGGGGTGGTCAAAGTCAAGAAAATTGTTATTTTTGCTAAGGCCATTATTATTATTTTCGTATAGCTCTTTATTTTTTTTATTTTTTATTTTTTTGCTTAGTTCTTCTCTCATGATTGCTAAAGTCATTGGCTATGGTCAACCAGGAAACTTCATGGAATGTAGTATCACGAATTCTGTTGGGAATAAAGGATTCAATTTCTTTATATATGGGGCTCTTAATGTAATAATAACAAAGATAATAAAACATCATATTTTGTGTTCTATAAAGTGATTCGTAAATAATATGTTAGCGTTTCAGTTGATTTTTTTTCAGATAGGGAGATTGACAGTGTGTAGGTGCTTAAAAATGAAAATTAATAACAATTAATTTAAAAAAAATATTGAAAATTGATTGCAATTATCAATTCTAACGTGTGTTACACCTAAAACTTAAAAATGTATTATTTATAGTTGAGACTCTTGAATTTGAATTGTTTGTATCGATATTTGCAACACAAGTTTTTAGAAAAATATTTAAAAATTAACTGTCATTATTAACTTAATACTTTAAAATCTAACTATTATTTTCCCTTTCAAATATGTTATAAAAACAATGGTCACTATCATATTATTTTACATTTTGTTATTGTAACTCTTTTTCTTTTTCGAAGTTTTGTTGAAGTAGGTAAAGTACAAAGTGACCTCGGACATAAAATTTCCATATGATCTTTGGGAGATAGCAGGTAGGACCTATACTTACATGTTGACCACCGCCTTGCATCTTCCTAAATAATGTGAGTGTGTATGGTGTATGCAATGACATCACTGCCCCCCGGGGGCGAACAAAAAAAAAATCACAAGCACTTCTTTCTGTTTTCAAAATCTATACTTTAATCTAATTTTTAAATATATTATTATCAATATTATGTTAAAGATTCTAAAATATTTTAAATTTTTATTTTTAATTATATTAAAAAATTTAAAAGTATTAATTGGCCCTTGTAATTTAATTGTCTACTCTCTCCCCTCTCATTTTTTCGAAACTTTAAATAATTATGACAACACTTAGATAAATAATTTTAAAAAATATTGTGTTCAAATTAATAAAATTTAAGGAAAAATAAGCATAAATCATGTTGAATAATTTATTTTTAAAATTATTTACCTATTTCATTAGGTTTTTCTTTTTTACACAAAAAAGATATCAACTCCAACCACTTAAGGTTATTCACCTTAAAGGCGAAATACATTAGAACCATAAATATATAGGAACTCATATTTAATTAAAATTTTTAATTATAAAACTAATATTTTATTTAAGAAACATCAAGCTCTTCAAATTTTGTGAATTTGAAGAGGGCATCTCACGTTTAAAATAATTTGAAGACAAATATAAGTACTTGTGATTGCTAATAAAACCCAAGTTTGAAACAAAGACAACATGAAAGCCTAGTTTCAACTCAAATCCAACAATTCTAAGTGAGTGATGAGGTTTGTGGAATTAAAACAACTTACCGGTAAGAATGTTATTAGATAAGAATAGATAGGTGAGATTGCTAAGACTTTCAATCTGAATTGGAATGACTCCACTTAACTTGTTTCCACTCAAATCCAACCATTCTAATTAAGTGAGATTTCAAAGAACTCCTATTTGAGTTATAATGATACCTGTAATTTTAATCGCAAACAAACTAAGTTTTGATCATATCTAGACTAACTAAATTTGTTAGTTATAAAACTAATATTTTATTTAACAACCATCAAGATCTTATATAATATGTTTCATCAAATATTAAAGGGAAAAAGACATAGTTAAGTCCCAAAGGAGGAAATTAATGACAATTAGGTCATTAATAATACTTTTTTTGAAATGTACATTATAAATATCAATTTAAATAATTATAAATTCAAAAGTTCTTACAAATAAAACATTTAAATTATTCATAGAACTCTTAGTTTACAATTGAGATTCTTATTGTAGCTGCCTAAATTAATATTTATAACTCTTTAGAGATTTTTTTCAGGAATTTAAATTGTTCTTTTAGAACTTTACTGACATTCTCTTAATACTAAATTGAAGAGGGCATCTCATGATCTAAAATAATTTGAGCTAGGTACTTGAGATTGCTCATAAAACTTAAAGTTGAAAGAAAAGCTTCACGAAAGCTTTATTTCTGCACAAATCCAACAATTCCAAATGTGTGAGAATGGTTATAAAACCCAAACTTAAAGTGATGGTTTCACCAAACTTTTTTCCACTACTCAAATAATCCAACCATTCTAATTGAGAAAGATTGGTAAATATAAAAGGTAATTGACTGGTAAGTTTATTTGATACCTGCCATTTCAATTACAAACAAATGAAATCAAATTTATAAGGAATGTGGTAGGACCAAAAATATTTTTAGAACCCAAATTCAATTGACTTTATTTGTTATAAAGAAAATATTTTATTTAAGAACCACAAAGCCACAATTAAAATTTCGTCAATGATTGAATTGAAGAGGGCATCTTAAATTCAAAAGAATTTGATCGGACAAATATAGATACTTGAGATTGCTTACAAAACCCAAAGTTGAAAGAAAGGCTTAACCAAATCCTTGTTTCCACTCAAATCCATCAATTCCAGAGGACTGAAGTTAATTAATAGGTGTGGAAGGAAGGCTTGCGACTCACCAGTTAATTTGTTATAAGACAAGTTTAGATGTATGAGACTGCCAAGACTTCCAATCTGAGTTGGAATGGTGCCTATAAATCCATCACATAAACTGAAGCAAATTAAAAGCAAGCAAATAGAATGAGAATTTTTTTTTTGAAACTCACAAAATAATAGTGTTATTTTTTAAAAAGCTTATTTAAATCAGGATAACCTTTATAATTTCAATCACAAGCAAATTAAGTTAAAATTGAAAGGAAAAGGAAAAGGAAAAGGAAAAGTTTCGCTCAAAAAAAAAATTGAAAGGAAAAGTAGTAGGTCATCTGGAAATATTACAAGAACGTAACTCAAATTAGAGTGACTAAATTTATTAGTTATAAAACTAATTTAAAAAAAATCATCAATAACTTATATAATTTCATCAAATATTAAATTGAAGAGGGGACCTCACTTTTAAAAGTATTTAACAACAAATATAACTACTTGATATTGCTTATAAGACCCAAAGTTAAAAGAAAGGCTTCATGAAGATCTTGTGATATCATGAAAGATTAAATTATCGTCATGAACAAAAGAATTTCTGGATAAGTATAGGTAGCCAAGATTGCTTATAAAACCCAAAAGTTGAAAGAAAGGCTTGTCAAAACCTTGTTTACACGCATCATATCCAACAATTCTAATTGACTGCGAATAATTAACAAGTGTGGAAATAAACTCACCAGTAAGATTGTTGTCAAAGAAGTATAGATGGGTGAGATTACGAAGAGTTTCAATTTGAGTTGGAATGCTACCCACCAACCCCATTCCATAAAGACCTAGCCGTTCTAGATTAGGGAATGCAGTGAAGTTAAGATCTACAAGGCGAGGCTGCTGTGGAGGGATACTTGGTCTCCAAATCTGAGTAATACTTCCAAGTTCGTTGCAAACTATCTCCTCCCATTCACAGGGGACGACCGAGTCGTTATGGTGGCTATCAATATTGCTATAATGATAATTCCACCATTTGTACTGAATCAAAGCATGTTTCTCCTCTTCTAAAAGGCAGCAGCATTATAAAAGAGAAATAAGACCATGGCTACAGTCATTGTTGGAGGAACTGACATAAGATTATTGGAGTATGCCATCGTAATAATTTATGAATAGAGTTATCAACAAATGAGTGCAAAGACAAGGTCTTTATAGAAAGCTAGCTAGCTACATTGGCCGAAGCATTTTTACGCATCTTTTTTTTATTTATTATTATGCTTCATTGACGAGGCGTTCTAAAGTCGAATAAAAGTTTTTTAAAGCCATTATTAATTATTATTATTATCTTACATCTGTTTTCTTCAATTATTGTGCTTCATTGACTGGACCACCATAGACCTCCAGCAACATCACGGAATGTTGTTTCTTCGGTGTGCGATAGACATATAATTGCCATGTCAATTTTGAGATAGCATTTTTTTTTTGCTTGCCCAAAGTGAGATAACATAAATGCGTACAAGTCTTATGTCTGGAAAACAGTGCATAAAATTATCACCTCAAATTTTAAAAATTCCTTATTATCTCCATTTCTTTCATGTAGGCAAAGACAAATTAAACAAATCAGGTTGTATCGAAAATTTAGATTTGAGGAACAAAACTTAAAATTTGTCGTCCTTTTATTTACTTTAAGGAATTCAAATTTTAATGTATTTCAGACAAAAAGATTTCATCTTTTTTCTAAGACAATTATATAATGTTTACTGTTATTTGATTAGATCGGAGCATTGTTGGATTCAATTAACAGTCATTTTTTTAATATGATGTTTTTATCCTCATAATACGAACCCTCAACGAGAACCATTCGCAACTAAAATTTCTATGATCGTTGCATGATAAAATTATAAACTACTATCACCATTTGAGACTTTTTCTTTTATCTTCCCATTTTTTTACCGTAACTTTTTCCCTCTATTTTGAAGCGATGAGCAGTGTCAGAAAAAGTTGAAAAAGAAAAAGTGAAGGTGAAAGTAAAAATTGTAGGAAATAAATATTTTTTTACCGTTGCATAATCATCAGTTTTAATTTTTCAATTTTGATATTTTCACCACAGATTGTTCGTCATTATTCAATATCAAATCACATATCTTAAGTCCTACCCAAAAAAAAAAAAACATATATTTAGAAAACGTATTAGTTAAGCTGTCAGTCGGTGACTAACATTACTTTTTTATTTTATAATATAAGGAGTAGAACACTAACAGCAAACATTAACTCCCTCGAGGAAGGTAAAGGCTAGACCTCTCCCAACCAAATAAATTACTTTTCTCTACATTTTTAAATATAAGAAAAAATAATTAATTCATACAGTTTAAAAAAGTTAGCTAAGTATGATAATTATGTCTAAAATTTAAAAAAAATTGATTACATTATCCCTATAATTAATTAAAAAGTTTGTTCAGTGACAATAAATATTGATTTTATGCAGGATAATTTGGGAAAACTGTAATAAATGCTTTTTAAAATTTAAAATTAAATAAAAACAAAAAGAAAAATAGTGTGGTACGTACACAAGGACTGAGATTTAACTTCCTGGTACTTGTTTAAGTGAAAAGAACCTTTACTACTCACATCATCTTTGGTTTGTGTGAATTAGTTACAACATTTTCAATTTTTAATCAATGTATTATATATATATATATAAACAAGTTCTAAAAGTAATATATATATATATATAATTGAATATGTATTATTAAATTTAAAATTTTATTTATATAATCTCCTTCTCAGAGAAAATCACCTTTATGAAAGTGTTGGTTGTCAAATATACTTAAAGTATCTTTATGTAATATATATCTTAAATTTTTATATTGATTGATGACTTCTTGTGACCGGCAACATTTATACTAAATATAAAATTTACTAATATTTTTTAAGAAAATATAATTCTAAATATTAATTAAAGTAATATACAAATTATTATATGTTTAAAAATATATATTAATTTCATTTGTATTATCAATTTATTTTTATAATAAATACAAGAGTGAAAATAATTTTAAATGTATATATTTTATAATTTTAAAGTCAATGTGGGGCAATTCATTTTTTATGAGGAGCCATTACAATTTTAAAGAGGAGAAAAGTGTAGTTTTGATTAAAAAAAAAGATAAGTGAAATGTTTTATAATTTAGTAGAGGTACTTTTTTGAAGGTTGGTTAGTCCTTGTTGATCACTATATTATATTCATAGCTTATGACTCATTCAAAGGGAATTATTTTGTGAATGTCATAGAAAGTGAACCTAGACAAACGCTGGAGAATATATTTTAAAAGACTAGTTCATTAAAAAGAATATTTTTTCACTTATAAACCACACTTTATTTGTAAAACTCTTTAATATATGGGACTCGTACCATTTGAGAGCTGATGGGCATGACAACTTTGATTCATAGCACTTCACTTGATTCATTATTGATCAGAACCTTTCATGAGTCTTGTTTTTAATATTGGTTTCTGAACGAAAGTGTCAATATCTAAAGAGACAATTCATTCCAAAAAAAGATTATTGTCATATTGGGAGGGATAACCCTCCATTTTTATAAATCAAACTTTATTTGTGAAGCTCCTCAATATGAACTCATATAACAAGAAATGTCTATTGATTTGCTTTTAAAGACTAGACTTGGGCTCTAACAGAAAGTTAATGATGACAAATCCTATGTTACGTTGTAGAATCTTCTTATCCGTGTTTAGTTTATCTTTGAAAATTTCATCATATCTTATTAAATTTCTTCTTATGTTGAAGATATTCTTATACAAATATAATATAACTTTTTTGCATCAAACGATCGAAATTTCTCATTATTGATAGAAGTTAGTTATAAGGAATAAGAACTTCTTAAAAATCCAGAGATTAAGTATCCCTCAAAATAAAAAGTGGTAACTTTTATTTTCAAAAACAAAAAGGAACAATGATGCTAAAAATTGTACGACAATACAATCACCACTTTTTATTTCTCTTTCTAATATTTAATTTTAACTTCACATATACTCTTTTCATCATTATTCAATGTCACTTAATGGATCAAACACGCTCTTAAAATATCTTTAGAAAACACTGATGCAAAGAACAAGAAAAATTGTCTTTGGCAAACTTGTTAGTTAAACTGTTTATCACCAATTAAATACATTTAGAATTCATTACTCATATATCCTTAGTTCCTTGTATATATCACCGACTAAAACAATTGAGGAGTAATTTATTAGATTTAGTCACAAAATTTTCAATTTTTAATAAATAATTAATGTATAATCTTATATACCTGGAAAGGGTTAACGTGAAGAACACAATGTAAAAATGTTATGAGCACAAGTATAGAAAAAAAGATTCTATTTTAAGACATGCACAAGGCTCCTCAATATGAAATTTATATATAACAATGCAATTGTTATAGTTTTTGTGTGTGTGAAAGAAAAGTCTTAGCTTGCTCAAGTGGGAAGCCAATGAAGTGGAAAAATGTCAATTTCCCCGAGTGTGAGCTAAACGTAGTATTGGGCACTTTAAAGTCGACTTATTATAAGTGTAATCCAATTACTAATACTAGTATTATTTGGTAAATTATTGTTATTGTTGTCATTACGGAAAACATAATCATTGATACCAACAGTATAGTTTTTTTTTAGGTTTTTTTAAGTCCCTGTAATTTGTTTTCAGTGTTTCAATCCTTATGGTTCTTGTAATTTAACATTGTTAGACCAATGTAATAAATGCTACTTAGTCTTGTTAAAACTATAGAGACTAAAAAAATAAAAAAAAATCATAGGGACTAAAAACAAAACTTAATGAAATTATAGAGATTGATGATTATATTTTTCCTTGTTGTTATTATTATTCTAGCAAGTGGTTGGACATTAATTCTTTATTTACTTTGGTGATATTATGGTTTTTTTTTTCAAAAATAAAAGAGTAAAATACAATGGCCTCATTTCTACATGTTTTGCTTAAATTATAGAAACCTCCTATTTATTGTTAAAACCTACACTTTAGTCCAATTGTTAACACCGTTAGGAATATTTTGTTAAATATTCCAAAATACTTAAATTTGTAATTATGTTGAAAATTTTAAAATTATTATTTTACTCTTATAATTTAATTGTCTATTATCTCCTAATTTTAAAAACTTTAAATAATTATGTTCATATTTAAAAAATAATTTAAATTTTTTGTTAAAATTAAAAAATAGAAAGCAAATATAAATCGTTATGATCAAATGAGTGTAAAGCTCACTGTTTTGAAAACCGGACCGGACCGGCCGGTCGGACCGGTCGGACCGTCGACCGGTCTGGTTTCCGGTCTGGTTCAAAGGAAAAAACCGTTTTCAGAGTTGAGCCGGGTTGAGCCGTTTCGAACCGGCGGTCGGACCGGGAACCGGCGGTCGGACCGGGATTCGGATCCGGTTTTCAAAAACCGGACTGTTCAAAAAAAATTTTTTTTATTTTTTATCAAATTTTTTTAAAAAAATGACTAATTTTTTAATCATTTGATATTATAGTGTATCATATAGCTTGTTAAGTCATAATAAACTTAAAATATTTAAGTTTTTAAGTTAAATAGCAATTTTATATGTATTTCTTATATTTAAATTATTATATACATATATAATTTTTTTTTAATTTAATTATTACGTCACCGGTTGGACCATTGGTCCAACCGGTTGAACCATGCGAACCGTGAACCGCTGATTTTTCCGGTTCAATGTCCGGTCCGGTTCTGAAAATACTGGTAAAGCTGGCAGGAGTCTATGTAAAAAGCTAGCAAGGTTGGCCAATAATGGCCATTGCATTTTCCTAAAGTTGTTGATGCGCATGTCTTTTTTTTTTTTTAATTAGTGTGCTTCATTGACGTACAGCTTTTTGAATTTTTTCCCTGCTTATATTCTTCTCTCATGATTTAAAGTCATTGGATCATCGTCATCCAAAAACTTCATGGAATGTAGTATCTCAGATTGTGTTGGGAATTAGATATTTAGATTTGGTTTGATTTTATTCCTAGAATTTAATTTTAAAAACTAGTTTATAATTCAATTTTTAAAAGTTATCTTTTAAAATAAAACAGCACAAAAATATCTTCAATTGAAACATTTGTCTCTATTATATACTAAGTTTATTATAAATATTATTGGCCTTCGTTAATATTAAAAAGTCTTCAGTCTTGGGTCTGAGATGGAAAATGGAACTGCACAAAAGTCACGGGAACTTTGAAAATTACTTATTATGGTCATTTCTTTATCATTAAGTTTAAACATATATCCCTAAACTTAAATAATGTTATATCTTCAAAATTCATGGCTTGGTTTAACTCTAATATATATTTTTTATACAACTCTAATGTATTTTTAACTAAAACGTATTTTTATAAAAAGCAATAGTTCAGGTTAATTGAAGATTTTCTAGTGCA